TACCTCCACTATAGCTGTAGAATGCAGCGGAAATATTACGTAAAACGAGTGTTTTGAATATTGCTTGGTTTTCTCCCCCAACAAGATGCTGCCGAGTGGATTAGTAGAACTATCATCAGCTGATGATGTACTGTACGTCAGAGACGCTCTGCTACCTGGACGATCTGACGCCGAGGCAACCTACGCCTTCACCAAGTAACCACACCCATTACATCATTCTAGTAAAACATTACATCATCTCTTTTTAGGCACATTGGGGACAGTCTGGGCTCCATGGCAACACAGATCAACTTTTTCATTCACAATTTGGCACAACTTAAATTCTCGTCTCCTCAAGCTCCGCCCACTCTACTGACCTTTGTACCTCAGGTACATTGTTTGTTACCATGGTGATCTAGTGTTGTCGTGGTGATGTTGTGTTTGCCCCGCCCACCCCAGGCATATAGTATAGAGACAGATGGACGGATATCGTGTGCGGTGATTGTGGCATACTACATGAAATACTATCCAGATGCACATGCGGTAAGTGTGCAACTTTGGACACACACAAACGGCAAGCGAAATTGAATATTACAGTGGAACCTCTCTAATAAAGACACCAATGGAGCAGAAGAAAGTACCCACATATTAACGAGATGTCATTTGCATGCAAGAACTGTTCTTACTCTCTATTCTCGTTCTATTTCTGAAGGTGTACCAAATTCAAGTAACTAGACCCCAGGTTAGCATGACGATGCTCTTCCGTCGCTACCGTGAGTTTGACGAGCTCCATTGTCGACTCACCCTCTGTTTCCCTGGCGACGAACTACCGGGTTTTCCCGGGAAAACCTATATACCCGGGAAATCGAGAGCTCGTGAGACAGTTGAAAGACGATTGAGTGAATTGAACAAATACATCTCATTGCTTCTGCGGATGGAGGCTCGCATTTCCGAGGTGGGTTTCAGGACGTCCTGAACTGAGTATGTGCCTTTTCAGGACGTCCTGAACTGAGTATATGCCTTTTCAGGACGTCCTGAACTGAGTATATGCCTTTTTCAGGACGTCCTGAACTAATGACAAACCACTTCACAATGTAAACCAGAACGGGATAAAATATTTCTTAATCTTTTCCTTGCAGTCGGACGTTGTCTACACGTTCTTCCATTGCCTCATAAGAGATGAACAAGAGAAGACGAGAATGGAAGAAGGTGAGCAGTCTCGTTCCCATTCCCCCATTTCCCGTTCCACCTTTGACCTCTCTCAGAGAGTGGGAACGAGGGTGGAGCAGTGGCGGGAAAGGTCAAAGTTCACTTAATGTACGACAGAAAGAGGGAGTCATTGTCAGTGATGATCCGGCATGTCACTGATCTGGTGAGTTTGAAGAGATCTTGTATATACAATTACTCTGGATCTTCCATCCCAGGTTCCTAGGGAAGGCACCGACACTGCTGACCCCTACGTCAAAATGTACCTCAAACCCGACGTTGCCAAGACAACCAAACAGAAAACAAAGATAGCACGGCGAACCCTCCACCCAACCTACAATGAAACTGTAAGCAATGATTTGACAACCAACGTTTCTAGTCCCTTGTAAGAGCCCTTTTGAAATGTTTTGGTTCCCTGTAGACTCTGCCTCAAAAATATTTTGATTCATGGAATTTTTCTCTCATTCTCCCCAGTTCACATACAAGGTCCCCCATCAAGCTCTGTCTGAAAGGTCGCTGGAACTCTCAGTATGGGATGCCAGCATTCTTCTCAACAAACAATGCCTCGCTGTGGCAACCGTTGACCTTTCTACTCTGCAGAGCGAATTGACTAGTGGGTGTGGCCGGTGGGTGGAGCTTCACAGTCTATCCCAGGCCCCACCCACTCATTTAGAAAACACAACATGACAATTTTATAACCTGTTACTGCGCATGCGTGTGATACATCGTAAATGTTTCTAATTGAGGGAAAACTTTTTCGCGCGAAATATTGAAAACAAAATGGCGTCGTATACTCCTCCGAGGACGGTGGACGAGCCTTCGCTGGCCACGGCAAGCGGCATCCTCGTCCTCCCTCTCCACGTCACAGAGGAGGTAAGAAGTGGCGGGGTATGCTAGTCCTGTTGGTAAAGAATCCGTATTTCTCCCTAGCCCACGACACTGCCCGAGACGGGCTCATCGCTGGACCTGAGTAGTCTAAGTGGAGCCGACGAGAGTTTGGCCGACCTTCAGCCGGAGCTCGAGGAGGAGAGGGAGAGGAGAGGGGGCTGGGACGGTCTCCTTGAGGAACAGAAGGTTTCTTTGGGTCTACTCTCTCTTCAGAGGTTTGTATATATTGTGTTTACAGAAGTTGGAGTTCATGGCGTGTCTGGGTCTGGTTCCACCTGCGGTCCTGGAGGAGATACACAGACGTCAGGACATGTGCAAGTCGGAGTATGGGAACTGGTGGGACCGACTCCACTCCACCGTAAGTTAGTGGGGTAACAGGTGGGAGTAATGGGTGGAGTAATGAGTGTTTGATGGTGATTATTCTGACCTTCACTATTAATTATCGACTCTCTACTCTTTAACTTTCTTATTTTTTCACAGGATTTTTGTCTCGTTCCAAAGTCAGACTCTAGTCTTCATGCACTGCACATACTCAGCTGTACGTTTCCATGTGTGTGTCACGTGATTGTCACATGACTCTCTCGACCAATCAGGTGAAGGGGATGTTGGGGAGGGTGTGATGAGTGACTGTGGTGTGATAGGGGGAGGAGGGGGAGGTGAAGATGTCACACAAGTGACTCCGAGACCAGATGCCGGAGCATTAGTCGAACAAATCACTTACCTCACTTCCTGGCCTCAAACCACGCCCCCTGTCAGTTGACCACACCAACCACACCCATTTATTATCATTTCGTTGCTAGGAAACGGCTAATTCCGTAGAAGTAATAACTCAACCTGCTGTCCCTCAGAATATGGAGAGAAACGGTAAAAGAAAGAATTGTTTTGTTGTGAAGATTTTTAGCACCTTTTCCTAACCAGAAATGACTGCTTTTTCCAGCGAAGATACCATCCTATCTCAGTCTCTAAGAGACCATTATGCAAGTTAGCCGATAGTCGGGCAACTCTCTAAGGACACTCCTGAAATGAGGACACCTCTCTAATAAGGACACCTTTTCTTTTCCCAATAACAGTTCTTGCATGGACACCTCACTAATATAGACACTTTCTTCTGTCCCATTGGTGTCCTGATTTTCCACTCTCCTGATTCTCCACTGTCTGTCTGTGTCTGCAGGTGTTCTAACAGACGAAGACCAAATAAACGAACATGTCCAGCTACAAAACACATTGCAACACATCACAACTTACAGATGAAACCACGCCCACTTCTCAAGCCAGAAAACCACACCCACATCCACCGTTACCATGATTACTGTTGCTATGGAGTGGATGCATGATTATACAGACCACCAAATACATGGCAACATTCAACTCACGAGATATAGTTATTTTTATAATTTTGCTGAAGAAAATAAAATTATTGGTGTTATAAAACAAATGACTGATTCATGAACTGATAAAAGTGCAGTGCCGACATGTTTCTGGTGATGATGCAATATTGATGATGATGTAATGATGATGTAATGTTCTAGGATGTTCTGAGTAAGTTAGTTGAACTGTTAGAAGTGCTGCGAGTGAGGACCTTCAGGAAGTTAGCATGAGATGAGGTGCCGCCTGTTGATTTGGCTCTTCCAGAACTGTGGGAGTGGGACCTTAGGGGAGGGAGGGAGGGAGAGGGAGGGAGGAAGAAGATCAGAGAGGTTAGTTTACACATGTTGCACAAGGCAAAAAGTCTCATGTATTGTGTATGATGGGTCCACAAAACATGTTCGAAGTGAACAAATACTCTTGGGGATGAAAGAGCTTTGCCTTATACCAACTTATAACAGGCTGATTTTCACAATCAGTAGGCCTAATACAGTAAGAGGACGATTTTCTTTCCTATGTCAGCCTTAGTTGGGCCAGTATTGAGGAGAGGTTGGCCAAATACCTTCTGATTCTAGGTTCCAGAATGTGGGATTTGGAATGGAGTTCCTCGTCCGAGATGGGATGAAATCCGACCAGGTACGCCTGCAGCTCACGCACCAAGTGGTAATTGTACTTCTCCTGTTGAAAATGACTTATCTCCTCCAATTTCTGGTATACCTGGAAAAAATGGAGGGGAAATGTCATGAAATGTTGTCCTGAAAAGGTGACCTATAGGACGAGTTCCCCCCGGCAGTACATACCTGGCGTCGCTTGTGGAGGTTAACGAGTCCACCTCTGATGTAATCGGGGTTGCCGTCGGCGATGAAGGTGATATCTTTGAGAAAAACGCCGATGTACGGAACGGCAGGTATGGGAGTGATGCTCAGCTTGTCTCTGTAGTTTTTGTAGTTTGACTGAATTGAGGAGGAAATGACCGTAATTGGACAGACAGAATGGAGTGAGGTGTCATTATTCAGGGGTTTGGCAAGAACTGCTCTTGGGAAAATAAAAGGTGTCCTTATTAGACAGGTGTCCTCATTTCAGGAGTGTCCTTATTAGACAGGTGTCCTCATTTCAGGAGTGTCCTTATTAGACAGGTGTCCTCATTTCAGGAGTGTCCTTATTAGACAGGTGTCCTCATTTCAGGAGTGTCCTTATTAGACAGGTGTCCTCATTTCAGGAGTGTCCTTATTAGACAGGTGTCCTCATTTCAGGAGTGTCCTTATTAGACAGGTGTCCTCATTTCAGGAGTGTCCTTAGACAGTATACTACTAATGAAGCCACACCCACCACAGAGAAGCCACACCCACCTTGGACTCAAGTATGGTGTCCATTTGTTTGAACATCTCCATGTGGATCTTGGAAACACCATCCCAAGTACGCTGCAGCCGTCTGATTGGTGCGGAGCCGAGACCTGCCATCACAATGGACATCATCGTACTGTAGTTTCTTAGGTCCAGACAGTGCTGCGGTGGGATAGGGAGATTACTGGAGTTTACTGCAAGATTACTGACTTTGTACTGACTTTATTGAGAAAGATTACTGACTTGTTTATTGCATATGCTGAACATTACTACTGGCTAGTTATGTAGGAGATTACTGACCAAATTTACTGAGAAATACTGACTAGTTTACTGAGCAACATTACTGAAAATCGTTGGTGGTTACCTTGGCAATAAGAATAAACTTCTGGAGGGCATCAACTCGCTGATCTAGATCCTCGAATGATAATATAGTAGCTGCCACCCAGTTACCCACCTACAAATATCACCGTGGCAACAATCCAACTAGTCAAACAGGTTACTCACCTGGTTGAACCGGTAAGCGAGTCTCTCGACAGCAGTCTGGGGACGAGTGTCTATTTCAACCTGTGGAGGCCCAGTGTTAGTGACAGCTGCTTTGGTCTTCGTCTCAGACGAGGACGACAAGGAAGGAGGAGGTTTTGATTTTGGAATGAGGTGGACTTTTAGCAGCAGTTCCACTGAACTTACTCTACAGAAATGCTCTGAGAATAAAATGGAAGAGAGAAATCATATCATAATTCCTTCCATATTTCAAAGTACATAATCACACAATTTTGCAGTAATTTTTTATTCGCATTTATTGTTTTAAGCTCGGCCTCTGCCAGGCCTTTACATATCAGACAACATTTGGTAAGCGTCGGATTAAAATAGCAAAGTACCATGAGCAATGAGCGTCATTTGCCGGGCACATTCCAGAGGACATTTCAGAACATCACTCACACTGAAAGGAGAGAGATTACGACACATAATTATAAATTATGTCTTGATTGGAAGGTTTGGGGGGAAGTAATCACTATACCGTGCATTGAACAAAAAAATTCTAGCATTGTAAGCCACCATGCCCGATATTATTACTGTGGCTTTGCAATTGTGTGACTTGTAACTAACCTCAGTTGGTGCAGAACAATGTGACGTGGGATCTCTGGATCGGGAGGACAATCGCAGAATGGAACAGGGACATCTTCCTCAACCATCTGTTCGTCAATTGATTCGTACCTCATGTGACCGTTTACCAGTGCCGATGTGACCACTGCCTGAGGGGGTGGGGGTGGACCACTGTGCTTTGGTCCGTTAGTAGTCTCTTGCGGTTCATCGTCTGTTGTCGTCGGGTGTGGCAAGTGGTTGCCGGGTGTCTCAGAGGCGGGAGCGGGTGTGGCTTCACGACTGGAGTCATTGGAGGAGAGAGAGGAGGTGGAGGAGTGGGAGGGGGAGGGGGGAGGGAGGGAAGAAGGGGCTGAGCCAGCTTGGGGTACCTCACTCCATCGGACTATCTCCTCCACAGGCTGGGAGGAAGAAGGGAAAAACTTTTTGAGCAAAGTGAGCCTACTACACTTGGGAAAAGGAATGCGCGCATAGGATGAGCGCATGGGGGAAGGGATGAGTAGATACAGTAGAAGTCAAAAAAACGTTTCCAAAATCGTTCACCGTTCAACCGTTGAACGGCGTTCACCGTTCACCGTTCATCCGTTTCCGACGGAACGACGTTTCACTGTTCATCCGTTGACCGTTCATGTTCGCGGCTACGCAACCCGCGATGCGCACTAAAAGCTATCGACGAATTCACCACGGCGGAAGTCTAGCACTGAAATCGACGGCTATTTTTGGCAACTTTTGATGCCGTGGCCTTTGCCAAGGCTTAGGCTGTCGTAAAAGCGCGCCTCGCTACTTCAGGATAGCGTACGGCCGTAACTAGAAAAAGTCGGAGTGGCACACGCGCGGATAATTGTCGAACGGTCTGAACGGTGAACGGCGTTTCTCCGTTTCCGTTTTCCGTTTCTCCGTTCGCCGTTCAACGGTTGAACGGTGAACGATTTTGGAAACGTTTTTTGACTTCTACTGTACAAGCATGGGTAAAGATAGAGGGGTATGTTGGGTACAAGGTAGGAGGATGGGGAGTGTGGAGCTAGACAGACAGAAATGAGACACGCCTTACATGGGTCTCTCCACCGTTCTCTCCTCCATTCCACACGCTCCTGATATCCAGTGCTGTTCTCAGCGTCTCCACGTGGAACCGGACCGTGCCGCCGTCCCGCAGCCCCAGAACTAACGAACAGGGATCTTCCTCGATTGACAGGCTCATAACCTGTTCCAGAGGATAGCTAGACACCAGCTCCTGTTAACAAGTTGGGGTGTGTCCTGAACAGTTACCATGGAAACAGGACACCCTTACTTTCGTCTTGTCATCAAGGAAGACGATTTTCTTGGAGGATAGTCCGAGGATTTGTTTGACCTCTTTCTTGAACCTTGCACCCTGCGGTACCTTCACAGGGTACAGAGTGCACTCGTAGCCGGGCAACGCCTAGGGGGAAACGGAGTGAAGAGAGCAGTTCGATTTTTTTCACACGTATTTAGAATAGAATAGCATGAGGCCAGTGGCCGTACAATTTGGCAGAGGTCCCACTTCGCTTTACAATAATTGGCAAAAAAAGCTTTTAAAATATTTTTTTCAATGACGTGATCCAATATCGGCATCACAGAGTCATCAACACTCAATATTTATCCAGGAACCCCTGATAAGATAACAAGTTTTGGTTACCTGGCAATGCTCGATGAAAAGATGTTTGGCATTCCTCTCTGACAGGCCGTCCATTTCCTGCAGAAGAACCTTCACTCTCTTCATGAGTGGTTTGGTCTTGGAGTAGCCCACGGGGAGAGAGGACTTGATGCGACCCGTGAAACTCTTCTTCGCTCTCGACGGCATCCGGTGGAGGCTCCCCGTGTTACTACGGAGACGGTGTCGTCCGGTGGTCAAGACAGTCTCGGAGACACTCTGTAGGATAATGAGAGAATATGGTGTGCAGTGAAACTTGAGAGTGTTGTCCATATTAGTGAGGTGTCCTTATTTTAGGGGTTGCAAGAACTGTTCAAAAGGTGTTCTTATTAGAGAGGGGGTCCAGTGTATTTTAAGTTGCTATGGTGACGGACTCTGACCTCAATGTGAAGCTGTAAGGCGGTGAGATAAATAGCTTCTTCCAGTGCCACTGGCAGAAGACCTGTCACTACCACTTTCTTCAACTAAAGAGAAAAGAGAGGGCAGGGGTGGAATTGGTTTAACACTGAATAGTGGACCAATTGGAGACGTGTCGATATACTAGTATTGGGCAGAACAAAGTGTCCTTTATAGAGAGGTTATGTTCATTGTTACCAGGGAGTAGAGGTTATTATGGTGGGCAGGGAGTCGCTCTAGCAACCTTCGCGACCTCAGAGTGCTGGTCTTCGGTCTATTCACGTCCTGCTGCAGCGACCGTAACCTAGGAGGCGGCATCGTTTTGAATCAGGATGTCCTGAAATGAAGGTGTCCTACAAAACTAACCTGTGATAGTGTGTGGTGTAGGGACCTCGAGCCAGCTTCAGTCTGACAATTATTTCAGTTACCTCGTTCTGACAGAGGAGGGAAAAATAAATATTTTCGGGCATTTTGCACAAAATGTCTGTAGAAATTTTTCTTATGATTCACACAAAAGTTTCTTGGGTGAACATTTCTCACTGCATTACTCACAGAGAGCTGGGCGTGGTTTAGGAAGTCGTCAGGGTAATCCTCCAGCCAGCGACCTATGACCTTTAGCGTCGCCACTTGATGAGCTGGCATGCAGTCCACGTGGGCAAACGACGGGACCGAATGCTTCTCCGTGGCAACAGACCAGTCAAACGGGTTTTGAGAACAGGGTGTGGCGAGTCGGTGGCGAAGAAGACGGACTAGGATGAGAGGGTGCACAAAAGTTTGGTAGCATGTGAGGAAAAATGTCGTGATCTGGTGTTTGGTTGCCCGGTGACCGAGGTCGTTGCCGTGGGAACGGGGGCCACTTTTGAGTGAGAAACCGCCCCAGAGATGAGACATTGACTCCGTCAGGAACTCCACACACTTCTCTATTGTCGCCCCTCTTTAGGGAAAAATAGATAATGGAGATTGAAAATAGGGTGGCCTAAACTTTTCGTACTTTTAGCAAGCAAGTGGAGGGAAAGACAGGCCAACCAACCATCCTGATTACCTTGACTATAGCTGGAGTTTGCAGTGAAATAAGCAGGTATAGGCCTAAACTTTGTACTTATGGGAAATGAAAGGCACCAATACTCCTTAATTCTTTTGGCCCTATAGCTGGAGTGTCAACCTTTCTCTTTTCCAATTCCCTCTCCAACTCCCTCAAACCTGGCGTAAGAGTGTCCGTCACTCTCGTCCGTACTGAGTACCACCGAATCCACCTCCTGACAACAGTCATACTCGCTAAACAGGTTTGTCGACCTCAGGTCCAGTTCTCCCAGATACACCAGTCCTCTCGCCGCATGGTAGCGTTGTCGAGCGCTGCTGCCTAGGAGATCTCGTAGCTTAGCAACCATCCCTGCTTCCTTTAGCTGAGCAACGAAATATTAGTAACAAGTTGGGAAATGATGCAACCTATTTCTGTTCCATACCATTTCATGGCTGTCCACATTCTGCGCCACATTGGCGAGTGTTATTGCAGCGTGAGTTGCGTTGTCTTTGTTACCGTCACCCAGGCAACTGCAGAGGAGGGTGACGGCATGCGATTTAGCGAGTCCTCGCTGCATTTTTCTGTGGGCGCTGGAAACGGACAACATCTTCAGGACTATGGCTCTTGCTTCCAGAACAGAAATGGATGGGCCTTTTAGAGTGGGGCTGTGGGAGGAGGAAAAGGGTTAATCTGATATTATGAGACCTAAACACAGAAATAAAAGGGTTACTTTTTTTTTTCCTGAAAATGGGAAACAAAATATGCTTTACCAAAATGTTGAACCCCAATGGGGACCAAAATTAGGATCCCTGCAATATACATACAGTAGAAGTGAAAGTGCTGTATGAGTCTCGAGACCACAACCCGAGTTCCCATAAGTCATTTATATAGAACGATAGGACGCGTTTTATTGTGACTCTGTAGCAGTCGTCGACCTCTAGCGAGAGAATTACGACTGCGTAGCCTACGCACGTGCGCACTCGCTGGCTTCTTGTGCGAGTTCTCTGTTCTCCTCGTGCTGTATGAGTCTCTCGACCACACCCCGAGTTCCCATAAGTCATGTATAGAACGATAGGATGCACTTTATGTGTTTTATTGTAACTCTGTAGCAGTCGTCGACCTCTAGCGAGAGAAATACGACTTGCGTAGCCTACGCACGTGCGCACTCGCTGGCTTCTTGTGCGAGTTCTCTGTTCTCCTCGTGCTGTATGAGTCTCTCGACCACACCCCGAGTTCCCATAAGTCATGTATAGAACGATAGGATGCACTTTATGTGTTTTATTGTAACTCTGTAGCAGTCGTCGACCTCTAGCGAGAGAAATACGACTGCGTAGCCTACGCACGTGCGCACTCGCTGGCTTCTCGCGGATAATTGTCGAACGGAGAAACAGAAAACGGAAACGGAGAAACACCGTTCAGCCGTTCACCGTTCAGACCGTTCGACAATTATCCGCGCGTGTGCCACTCCCACTTTTTCTAGTTACGGCTGTACGCTATCGAAGTAGCGAGGCGCGCTTTTACGACAGCCTAAGCCTTGGCAAAGGCCACGGCATCAAAAGTTGGCAAAAATAACCGTCGATTTCGGTGCTAGACTTCCGCCATGGTGAATTCGTCGATAGCTTTTAGCGCGCATCGCGGGTTGCACGAACATGAACGGTCAACGGATGAACGGTGAAACGTCGTTCAACGGTTGAACGGTGAACGATTTTGGAAACGTTTTTTTGACTTCTACTGTACCTCACAATACTCCTGGTGTCTGCAACATCGTTGGCAAGGAAATTAGGGGGGTTGGGGGGTTTTGTTGCCGATGGCGACGGGGGCCCCCCGGGAGGCAGTGGAATATCTAGATGGTTGCCCCCAGCACCAACTCCGCTGTTTGGTCGTGACTCACCACTCACATTCACCTACAAAGAGAGGGGAGAATCGAGACCTCTCAATTAACCTCAGGAAATATGTCCTGCGAGCAACTTTGACATGCACTGAAAAAGACTGATGTTGGAACCTGAGTTCGGTACCTGATTATCAGAACCAGACGGAGTGGTCCGAGACAAGTGTCTGGATCCTATTCCACTGTCGGAATCATAACCGGACATCTCATAGGGTTCAAGGTACATGAGGAGGGGTTCGGAGGGCACGCGGATGATCTTCTGAAGGTGGTCACTGTCATCTTCACAGATCAGGAGACTGTTGAGGAGAGAGAGACAGGTTGCCTGGAGGTGGAGGAGAGAAAAGTGAGTTGAGCATAAGTTTAAACACGTGTATAAGACGTACGTAATATGGAGCTCATCTCAAGGATACCCCTAACACTGGGAACTTTCACCCATGAACAGTTCTTGCATGCAACCCCTGAAATAAGGGCACCTCACTACGTTCTTCTGTAGCCAGCAAAAAATTTCTTGCCACTACAAAAAAATTCCCATTCCATACCGGAATGGGGTCTCTGGTATGGAGTAATTTGATAACGAGGTCCAGGAATCCAGATCCAAGAGCAGTCTTCTTCCCCTCTGGCCCGCCGGACTCAAATATGTTGGTGAGGAGTGTTGCTATGTAGTTGAGCGCTACGGGAGACGTGACTGGAGACTTGGCCAACATGGCAACCCTATATGACGAGGGAGAAAAGATACAAGCATATTTCAGGACACCACCGAGACAGACGTTTCCATATTACAGGACGTCCTGAAATGAATATGGGACAGCCTAAATGTACACACTGTATTACTCACTTGTCCATGAATTTGGGCAGACAGAGGTACGAGACAAGCGTCTCCAGACACTCCCTGTTCCTCGAGACACACACCATCAGCTTCAGAGCCTTCGTCGCTGGCTCAAGGTCACCCGCTGTTATTTCCATAGCAATGTCGTCGCTACCGGCAACCGAGAGCTGCGGGGTGTTGGGTCGAATCGAGAGCTGGTGTAACAGGTCAAAGTTCAGCTGGCCCAGGTTTGCGCTGGTTGGAATGGAATCGGAACCAGACAACATGCGGATGTTTGGAACGGGGGAAGACTTTCCATCTGTGCTTGAAACTTTTCTTTGGTGGGGGGCCGCCCTCTGGGGAAATTTATCGGACCCCCCAATTGAAGGGGGACGACTGCTTTCTCTGAATAACTCGTCGACGAATGGGGGATTGCGTCGCCGTGACAACCTTCTGATCACACCCCCGGGACCATCGATGACATCATGCCTCCTCCGGGGTAACTTACTCCGAAGTGATCCCCCGAGTTGGAGTCTCTCCTCCAGACAGGGGGCACCCACGGGGGCCGAATATTCCCTTGAGAATGCGGGGGACTTGGGGGCCAGCATCAGTGGAGATAATCGGTCGTAATCTGGACTTTCTACTCGGCTGTTCAGCTGCCTGTTTCCATAGCAACACATCTTACATCAAATTAGTATGTGAAGCCATGCATACAGTGTGTTGTATTATATATAGTTTCAACTGGCAAGAAAGTAGTCAGACACCAATGGAAGTGTCAATATTAGTGAACTGTCCTTCTATTTAAAAGGACCAAACGTTTTAGGAACCAGGTAAATGTACCTGGAAGCGGAATGGATTGTGGACAGGATCTCATCGAAAATGGCTTCAGTCTCAGACACCGTCTTCAGGTCAGGCAGAGGACTGGATGGGGCCTCGTATCTGACAAACGAAAGGAGAGGGAGATATACAGACGAAATTATCAACAGCAGATGAAATTAAAACGAAGGGGAAAAGGAGAGGGTTAGAACATCTTCTCAATTGATGTTGTTAGAAGAGAAAAGATGAAAATAATAAATTGAGCTCACCTCTCGGCAAAGGTAACAGGGAGAGACATTCTGACAAGTTCTCTCCTTCTCCCCCTCCCCCCTCCCCCCTCCACTCTCCACAAGTCTTCTTCCAACATGTCGAAAGCTTCGCTCATCTTCTTCATCATCTCTCCCTCACCTGCCTTTACCACAGTCCCTGGGTGGGACGACAGATTATGCATCAAATTTTCGGTGATGACACAAAATGTGACATTATTCTGCTCTCCAACATTGTAACACGTTTCTGTTGCATGCGTTTTTTCAGCTTCTGGCAAATGATGTACTACATGTAAGGGCGCACGCCTACTAATTCGAAAAAATTAAAATGAACCTGATATAAGGTGACATAAGGCAGAGCTCAAAAAAAATCGAAATTTTTCCTGACCCTCCCAACATAAACTCTTTAAAAGCTGCCGTACGCCTACCAATTCTAAAAAATTAAAATGATCCTGATATAAGGTGACATAAGGCAGAGCTCTTTCAGCTCAGATATGTACTTTGCAAGAGTATTCGTTCACTTTGGAAAAAAAATTCTGGCCCTCCCAACTTACATACTCACCTGCTGAACTCTGACTTGCAACACTGTCTGGCCTTATCTCCATGACCTTCGACCCCAGCATAGGCGACTGAGGAAGGTTCAGTGGAGGTGTATCCATGGCATCGTCTCCCGCTTCCACTGCCAAGTTTGGTTCGCTGAGCGACTTCTGCCGCCTCAGTATCACCCTGTTGCCCCCGGCGATGCATTCCTCGGGGGTTTCCCTCGATGATGGCGGTGGCTGCTGGGGTTCTGTGATGTCATTCATGTTCTTGCTGACATCACCGGTGGTCTCATAGTACGAGGAGTTGACGTTGAAATCTGACGGAAACTTCAGCATCTCCAGCCGACTTCTGTAGTGAGACAGGGGTTAAAATTAACTTCCGTGGTGGGATAAATGAAAAGCGCACTTTTTTGAGAATTAAAAAAATAAATATTTAGTACAACCCCACCTCCTGGCAGCCTCCTCCTCGTCCTCCTCCGTCAGGTCAGTGAGGTTATCAACACTCCTGGACATCTTCTCCTTGAACCAGTTCCTGCTTCGCCTCACTGTCCGCATCCAGTGCGACACCCTCGCATTGGCCTCGGCAACCAGGGTGGGGCTCGGAGAACGTAGCTCAATCGGTGGGTGTGGCCTTGCAAAGTCATGCGACTCGTAATGAGACCTGATGGCAGCGTTGTCCATTGACCTACAGTAGAAGTAAAAAAAAAACGTTTCCAAAATCGTTCACCGTTCAACTGTTGAACGGCGTACGAACGGAGAAACGGAAAACGGAAACGGAGAAACGCCGTTCACCGTTCAGACCGTTCGACAATTATCCGCGCGTGTGCCACTCCCACTCTTTAGTTACGGCCGGCGTACGCTATCCTGAAGTAGCGAGGCGCGCTTTTACCACAGCCTAAGCCTTGGCAAAGGCCACGGCATCAAAAGTTGCCAAAAATAACTGTCGATTTCGGTGCTAGACTTCCGCCGTGGTGAATTCGTCGATAGCTTTTAGCGTGCATCGCGGGTGCGTAGCCGCGAACATGAACGGTCAACGGATGAACGGTCAACGGATGAACGGTGAAACGTCGTTCCGTCGGAAACTGATGAACGGTGAACGGTGAACGCCGTTCAACGGTTGAATGGTGAACGATTTTGGAAACGTTTTTTGACTTCTACTGTATAGGTAAAGTCAGTAAATTACGTAAGAGATAATGTGCGTTTAGAGTTCTATACGTGATGCGCCTCGTGCTGTATGAGTCTCTCGACCACACCCCGAGTTCCCATAAGTCATGTATAGAACGATAGGATGCACTTTATGTGTTTTATTGTGACTCTGTAGCAGTCGTCGACCTCTAGCGAGAGAAATACGACTGCGTGCGCGCCGGTGCATCGCTGGCTCTCGCGAGTTCTCTGTTCTCGAGGCTACGGTAATCGAACAAGGTCGTGATGGTGGCTCTTTCTCCCTCAGAGAAACTCGTTTCATGGGTCGCTGGGCCGTTTGACCAGTCGGTGTGCCGCGGCCGCGGTCTCGCTTGCACTGAGCTGAATGAAGGGGTGTGGTCGCCTCAGCCATCCCTCGACTCTAAAGCCTCTACAGAACCGTTTTTGTCTACACTATGGGTACGATACTGATGCTAGTTCAATAATTCTTTTATTGAACGTTCAATATTGGTCATATTGAACGCGTCTACAATACGGGAAATAAGAGTACGCGCGGCAGCTTTGATCTGCCCACGCAAGTCACAATAAACTTGGATATCAGTACACTCTCAGTAAATGGTCAGTATACTACTCCACCTGGTAAGGTCAGAAGTGAAGGAAGAAGGTCTTGTGCTCATCGGAGATACTGTGGTGGGTGTGGCAGAGGGGGCGTGGCCTTTGCAGGGGGTGTGGCCACTTGGAGCCGTTGAGGAGAAGAGTTCACAGGCAGATATGACCAATCGGCTTTGGGTTTCCTTCAGCTCCTAGCAACCAAACATCAACATCTATCTGTTAACGCACCACTTCTGTCGCACACCAATGACAACGACAAAGGGCTGTTGCTAAAGGTCTAAAACTTGCTATTCACATTTCAAACTGGTTAGAATACGAGAAAACGGCTCCAGCTAGTCAACGATCTACTCAGTCCAAACTGTGCTCTCGTGGAGTTGCAGACGTCAGTTTTCTAGTGAAATGTCTCTAATGGGCTGCAGATGTACACACTCAGTGTACAACAACTGTAGCAACTGTACTGTGACATTATCTGAGAAACCTCTGGAAAATCCCTCTGAATAATGGACACTTGGCTCTGCCCCACTCCACATACAGTGAAACCTTTGGGACACTTCTAGATAAAGGACACCTCTCTATAATGGACACTTGGCTCTGCCCCACTCCACATACAGTGAAACCTTTGGGACACTTCTGGATAAAGGACACCTCTCTATAATGGACACTTGGCTCTGCCCCACTCCACATACAGTGAAACCTTTGGGACACTTCTGGATAAAGGACACCTCTCTATAATGGACACTTGGCTCTGCCCCACTCCACATACAGTGAAACCTCTGGAAAATCCCTCTGAATAATGGACACTTGGCTCTGCCCCACTCCACATACAGTGAAACCTTTGGGACACTTCTGGATAAAGGACACTTGGCTCTGCCACCTCCACATACAGTGAAACTTGGGACACTTCTGGATAAAGGACAACCTCTCTATAATGGACATTGGCTCTGCCCACTCCACATACAGTGAACCTTTGGGACACTTCTGGATAAAGGACACCTCTCTATAATGGACACTTGGCTCTGCCCCACTCCACATACAGTGAAACCTTTGGGACACTTCTGGATAAAGGACACCTCTCTATATGGACACTTGGCTCTGCCCCATACTAATACATTAGTGACACCTCTGAATAAAGGACACCTCTCTATAAAGGACACTTGGCTCTGCCCCACTCCACATACAGTGAAACCTTTGGGACACTTCTGGATAAAGGACACCTCTTCTATAATGGACATTGGCTCTGCCCACTCCACATACAGTGGAAACCTCTGGAAAATCCCTCGAATAATGGACAGATGGGCTCTGCCCCACTCCACATACAGTGAAACCTTTGGGACACTTCTGGATAAAGGACACCTCTCTATAATGGGCACTTTGCTCTGCCCCACTCCACATACAGTGAAACCTTTGGGACACTTCTGGATAAAGGACACCTCTCTGTAAGGGACACTTTGGTTCTGCCCCATACTAATACATTAGTGGATTATTTTACCTCTGAATAAAGGAAACTTTCAAAATCCAGAGATTCTAGTGTACCCTAATCACCACAGAAACCACCATGGCAACCGTTTCTCACCGGGTCCAGGTCGCAGGGCCTCAGACCAAGAATGTCGCAAGACGTCACTTGAGCTCCAGCTTCGAGAAGAGCGATAGAGCATTCTATAAATTCCTTTCTTCCCGACGAGAAATGAAGAGGTGTCCGTCGCATCAGGTCCGCAAGGTTCACATTGGCATTGTTGCACAGCAACACCTGTGGCGCCATGGTAACTGGGGTCAAAGGTTGCGAGATATATAGGTGGTTTTACTCACCCGGAGGATGGAGATGTTGCCGTCGGCGACAGCTCTGTGTGTTGCCGTGCACTCGTTCCAGCCGCGAGCATCGACCAATTGCACAGGAAGACTGGAGTAGTATAGAACATGGAAAAATTGATGAGCACCCGATAAATCTTCTCAAGTTTAGGTTTGTCAACAGAA